TTTTTCTGGAACCGGGGATTGAACTCAGGTCCTTGCACTTGCCAGGGAAGCACTTATTCCACTGAGCCATCTGCCCAGCCCGCTATGTATTTTTAAAAAACTTTTTTTAATAGTTATAATTCAAAAGGTTGTTTGAAGGCCTAGATTTTGAGTCTTCTGCTTTCCTAGAATGTTTAAAACCTTTTATATTTGCATATTTGTCTTTCTTTATCCTTAATTATTATACAGGGATATTTATTTTATTCAACACTTAACTGGCACTGAGTATGTACCACATTCTGTGTTGGGCACATGAAATTCAAAGCTAATGCTAATAGTCTCTTCTTTTAAGTGCTTTGCAAGGAAATTATAAAAAGTACAAAGCCCAGGCTGGGGATGTAGCTTAGCAGCACAGCACCTGCCTGGCAAGCACCAGGCCCTGAGTTTGTTTCCTGGTACAAAAAGAAAAAGTCCAAAGGCAACCTTTTGCTCACTGATAGCTGGACTTTGCTATCTGCTGAGTGTATTTCCCACTTAACTTTGTGTGCCTGTTGAATTGAAAGCAAATACAAAGTTAAAGGAATGGTAGACTTAAAGAGTAAGAAAGTATAATCTTTAAAAGCTTTTATTGTGTAGTTTCTAGTACCTCGGCTCTAACACGCAGAATATGAGCATAGTTACAACAGCTGTAGTCCTTTTCTGCTCTCCCTCCTGCCTATTCTTCTCTTACTTTTCCAGCTTTTATAGACCTATATTTAAATGCAGTAAATTTTACCCAAAGTTTATAATTAAGTACTTTAGGTTTTTTTATCGCTGCTTTTGAGTTTTTAAATGTATTTTTTTGTAGTATTTGAATTTGTGCCCAGTGCCTTTGCACTGAGCTATATATATATCCCCAACCATTTAACTGTCTAAACAGTTTATTTAAACTTTCAGACAAGATCTTAGTAAGTTGCCCAGAAATCAACTAAGTGATCTCAACTGAGTTGCCCTGAAACTTGTTATCTCTTGCCTTGGTCTCCCTAGTGCTGAAATTATAAGCACATGCCAGTGTACCCAAGAAAGTTTTTTTTTTTTTTTTTTTTTTTTTTTTTTTTTTTTTTTTTTTGAGATAGGATCTTGCTATGTATTGCAGGCTAGTCACAGATTTATAACAATCATCCTGCCTCAACCTCCCGACTGTTGAGGTTACAGATGTGCACTGCCACTCCTGCCTTACAGTTTAGTACTTTCACAGTTGTGTAACTATATAACCAACTTTATAACAAGACACTTTTGCATATCAGAGTCTATAGTTTTTAAATCACTTTCAGGTACATCTGTGTTTGTTGCCCTCTGTGTCAACAATATATAATATCAAAAAAGTTGCTATGCAAATAATTATATTTCAGCTTCTTTTTAAAATGTTGTTTTAATTTTGTAAATATGTTTTTCCATCTCTGCTTACAATAACATGTTTTCTCTGTTCATTTGTTTTAGAATAGGAAAGGTTTATTGGGTACTAAGAATAGTCCTGAGAGACAGGAGGGGTCCCAAGTGAGTTGCCATCAAGGTAATATCTCTGAGAATGTTTTATAGGACAACATCATGAGTTGAGTACAAAGCGAATCAAACTATAATCAACACATAAGATTTCAAGTATAGCTGCATAGTTTTCATTGATCCAGTAGGGAAATGGTCACATAGCAAGGGAGTATGATTGACATCTTTAACGTTGGTTTATCTGTTTCTAAAGCAGGAACATTTGGGGAAAGAGATGGATCAGGGTGATGTTCCAGCAACAGGTTTTTGAGCATTTCTTTTACAATAGAGATTTCTTTTGGAACAATAATGAGGAAGGGCTTTTTTGATTATCCCCCTCCTTTATCTGTCATGGTCTGAATAGAAAAGAGGACTACAACACTTGTAGAGCACATGAAATGTATTGAAAATAGTCTGGACCAGCAGTAAAGCCTGGAAGAGTGAAGTGAGGTGGAATCCAGCTGGAATTGTGTCAGCTTTAGCACTGGGCCCTTTCCCTAGATGTTTCTTTCACTGCTAGTGCTTGTCTTTTTGCTAGCTTTCCTTTGTGTCTTTTTCTTTCTTCAATTTGTGAAGTGAACATTAAGATTTTTCTTTTTTGCTTCTCTTTTTTTTTCCTGTGTCTTTGCAGAAAAATGTAAATGTGACTTACAGACATACCTGTGTGACTTGTGCTCATGTGTATACAACCTCAAAAACCTGCTAAATTTTCCGCTGGCTTGGACTTTTTAGCTATGAGCAGAGGCCAAACATGTGTTTCAACACATAAAAGGCTTCAGATTTTCTATGTAATGCCTAGATTGGAATATAATAAATTCTCTTTTTACTCTTACAAATACATCTATCTCATATTGAATTGTTCCTCTGAGTTATCTGAGCCTTTCATTTTCCTGGCTGTTTTTATCTTAACAGAATATTTTTCTTAATTGAAAATATTTTTTATAATATGCGCATAACAAAGTAGCTCATTTTTTTTCTTTCTCTATGTAAGAAAACATAGTCCAGAGAGTCAGAAATGGGTAAAATGAACGACATTTTGCTTATAATAGCGCTTGCATGTAGTTACAGTCATAATGAAGTGAGAATAATGTTGGAAAAAGCTTTGAATACTGTCAGGAAATGATCAAAAGCCCAAATGCTTGCAGGGCTCTGGTTGCTATGGTGATAAAGACTGTTGAAGCAGAATGGAATACTTGGTGGGATTATATAAGGCAGCATCTCAGGACGAGTTTGAGAAATGCAGCTGTGTCTGCCGGTGCTGTGTGTAACTTGTGCTTTGCAAAAGCAGAAGCCTCCAATCACTAGTGATTGACTCCAGAGAAGCAAATACACAAAGCCAACACAAGCTTTGGGGGCCAGGATTTTTTTTTTCCTACCCCGAGAATTATAATCAAAGTGTAGTGGTCCTAGACAAAAAAATTTAAAGAAATTATTTTTATTGGGGCCAGGGAGATGGCTCAGTAGAATAAGCGCTTCCCTGGCAAGCCCAAGGGCATGAGTTCAATTCTCGGTTCCACCAAAAA